CAAGCAGAGGCCTCCTCTCAAATTTCACACAGGGATCTGACCAGAGGGCAGGGCAGTGCTAAGGCAGGACAGGGACTGCCCCAAGCGATGGGAGAGACAGCATTTCACACTCTGGCTCGCTCCTCATCTCCCATATGCGCTGGAGCACCCAGAGCACTTATCAGCGGGTAGATCTCCTCCTCCACAGGCCTATTTCCCTTCACGGGCATCACAACAACCTCCAACAATCAAAACAAGGGTGCCACTGCACCCAGCCAAGGGATGGTCACTTGGGGTTCACAACACCTTGGGCAGGAGCTGTGCCTGAGCCCCAGATCGAGCCCACTGCCCCGAGGGTGGGGGTGGCTCCACCACAGGCTCTCTCCAGCAGCAGAGCCAGTTTAAGAGTTTCCTACACCACCCTGTCTCCCCACATTAGACTGCCACCTCTCCAGTCTCATCAGGTTTGCTGATGGGGCAGCAAACTCACTAGCCCAGCACAGAGAACAATTTGGGTTAGATGTGTTCCTGTGTGTGTCCCCTTCCCAACTTTCATCTAGGGCCTTAGCCACAATTTAGTATTTGGCCCTGGGGCATCAGCGCCTGAGGCACTGAGAGAGGGAAGGAAAAAACCTCTTAAACCAGCTCTGCCACACCGGCAATCTTAACTTGGAACCACACCCTGAGACTGATTGCTGACTTGACAGCAGCAGAGAGACCACAATGGGCAGGATTTGTCTTTAGGGTCACAGCACTCACCTGCTGTGCTTCCCTAAGCCATTCTGAAGTGATCCAATGCTGTTGCCCTCTGTTCCTCACCCTGAGTGTTGTCACTGAAAGCATAGGACATCACTTCGATGATGTGCTAATCTCACTTTGTAATTCACAGAGTTTTGCTAGTCTTGGTTCACAGTAAAGGGCCTGGCAAAATTAGCCCTGGAGCAGACAGGTGAGATTTCCGCACACTTCCAGCGCCCAGAAATACTCAATGACTGCCCTGCAAAAGGCCAGACAGACACCAGCCCTGTGTCCTGCTGTGGCAACTCCACAGATTCACACAGGTGTGGATGGGTAAAGTGGCTTTGTGTGTGGTGAAGACTAGAGAAAGAGAGAAACCCCTCTCCAGCAGAGCACCATGCACCTGGCACATCTCACCTCGAGCACGCCAAGCACAGCTTTAGAAAGAGTTGGGTCAAACAGCCCCTCCGGCAGCAGTTTCCAGAGATGTACTAGCCAGCTTGCCAAACAGCTCCCAAGCACCACCAGGAGATTCCCTCCCTGCTGACGACTTCACACAGATCTAACCTTACCAAAAAATTAAGTTACATATATGCAACAGTTTCTCCTCAGACTCTCAGATCACCTCACAGAAATCCCAGTGAGTGCTGAGGCAGCACAAGACAGGCAACTTACTCTGAGAGAACTGCTGGACAGCCTGAACCAGGCAGAGCATCTGAGCATTGCAGCACCAGACTGACTAAACTTTTTCTCCCGTGCTGTTAGTCCACAGTCAGAGCTGCTCATGTTGCTGCCCCTGCCTTTAAGAAGTCGAGGCTCCAGCTCCAGGTGCCACTGTGCTTCCTCAGGGGCAGAGCTGAACAGCTCAGTGTGACATGGGCTGGGTGTGACCACCCAGTGACAGCCAGCAGAAGACTTCCAAGTCTCAGAGAGGGACCATCACATTGTTAGTGCCAGGGCTGGACTGTCACTCAGGCTGCAGGATACAATAGAGCATTTCAGCTCCTCAATTAAGGGCCTGCAAAACAGCTCATAAAGCCAGCACCTCAAACCAATCCCTGAACTACTGCCTCATTATAGCTGAGGAGCAGCAACATATATGCAGACTTAGAAAACTACTCTGCAGTGCCTGACAAGTCCCATCCAACACTACTCATGGTGCAGGGAGGCCCAGCTGAATCTCTGGGTGAGGAACACTGATATCCCTTAACTCACTGCTCTGTGAACTCTCCCCACTCATGCAGGACCATCCACAGGCTGCCTTCCCCTGCCGGGTCAGCCTCCCCGAGTTTGCCAGGACACAGCTTCTTCCATAGTCTAATTGTTTCAGATGGGTGCAAGACACCTTCCCAACAACACCCCTACGTCCAGACCAACTCACCCAGGCCTTCAAAATCTTGGGAGTCACAGATGCAAAGCCTGAACTAGGAAGCAAGCACAGTTAGAGCAGTGTGATCCTAATGTAAGCGTCACTGGGATGTGTGAACGGGCAGGGAATTCTTGTAGGATCACGACTACAGCTGAAGTGGAGGTGAATTTCTCCTCAAAACCCAGATCTCTCACCAATACTGACAAGCCATTCAGAAAATATACATAGATCAGACCTTTGTTGAACCAGAGGAAGGCAACAGTAATGCTCACTAAATAAAAGGACACAAAATGCTCAAGACTTCCTCTACATCCCGATGGAAGCCAGTCAGTCAAAAGATGCTGTTGGTGAAATTACCCTGGCACACCAGGGAGCAAGCTGCTTTTGCTATCTCAGGCCTCAGGTACTATCAAACCATGCTACCTGCCCATGCAATTAATTCGGCTTCTTCAGCACTACAAACTATTCTGGCCAAGGTTGTTTGGCTGGCAGGACTACTATCACACTTGGATTTTTTTTTTTGTTGTTTTTAATATCTTTATTCTTTTGCTATCACACCCACATTGATCCTCAGTCACACACAAGAAACAGCTTACAGCTGCAGAAACATACTGTACTACCAACTACCTGTTTCCCTACCTAGAACTTTTAATGTAGGCATATTAGAACCAACTCCCAAAGCCGAGGCATACGTAGGAGCAGGATATTCAAATAAGTGATATTCAGCACTTTTGTATTCCTGGATAATTCACCCATAATACCTTGTTCTGCAAGGGCCAGAAACACTAGCTAAGAGAATGGCTCCCCACATTTCAAAGCATGCATCTTGAAAAAAAAAAAAAAAAAAAACACAACTGTATTTTAAAGGACCTTCAACAAGGGAATGTCACTGACACAGCAAGAGAGCATAACAAGCTGGAAGTTCCCAGGAAAAATGAAGCAGGAGACATGAACTAAGCCTCACCTACCACACAGGGGTCATGCTTCCTCCTCTCAGCTGCAGGCCAGCAGAGACAACATGCAGAGGAGGCCACAGAAGCCTAGGTGAGCCTCATCCTCTGCTAGCTGCCCATGTGCCTTCCCAAGCCCCTTAAGCACATAGCTCATCAGTGTGCAGCCATTTATCCAGCTTAGCACATTGCTGGAGTCCAGGCCACCTACACCAGGGGAGGAACTCTTTCTGCCAATTTTTAGTTGCGAGTTTATGAGCATTTTTAAACTGGTAAGTTCCTGGCTTCTAGTCCTCTTCATCTGCCATGTCTTTATCCAGCCGTTTTGGGTTAACTTCAACTGTTCAAAGCATAGCTAGGATCATAGTTTAATCAAAATCCAAAGCTAGCATTGCCTCCAAGAGAAGCTATCTTGCCAACCTGACTGCTGGCCATAGAAATGGTCACTCGCCAGTCAAACCAGCATCTTGAGCTGGATGCTGCACAGGTGTGGGAACTAGTGCAGCAGGACAAGGGAGGAGGTGGGACTGCTGCTTTTGGCAACATTGCCAAATTAAAGCATCCACCAAAGCACTTGGGACAAGCCATCTTGAAGGGCCCACAGAAGTATTACAGTTTTCTGTTTGGGTTTTGGTGTTGTGTGGGGTTTTTTTTTGGGTTTTTTTTTTTTTTTTTTGTAATCACCCTCTCAAAAAAGAGAAAATACTAAAAACCACTTCAGAACAGAGTTGCTTCAGGTTCCTGAAGTGGGCTAAGGTAGCTGACTATAAAAGAATAAATGCCTGTCACCAAATCATCTAATATGACAATCCTCTCTGCAAAACGTAAACATGGAATAGACACCAAGCAGCACCAGACAAGGAGCACACCTTCACTAAACCAGGTGTGTGGACAAACCAGTTTCCTCCTCTCCACAGGGGCCAATACTGGAATACCCATTTCTACCCTCACAAGAATTTCCATCCCTAGGCCACCTACAAGGCACACGCTGGCTACAACTCCCCAGCACCCTTTCTATGGCCAGGCATCCACAAAAGAGTAACAAGAACTGCTCACTCTCGAGGGCAAAGCTTAATGCCGAGAACCACACTGCCTCACACCAAATGATTTCAGAGTATTAAAGGATAAGGATTTACCTTTACAGACGGCACCCTGAAGGTGAGGGTACACATACTGCTGTGACTTAGAGAGGAACCCTGACACAGCTTCAGCTATCACAGAGCTGACACTTGCTGTTCCCAGGGGGTTTACAATTGCCTCAAAACAGTATGAAACTGACCTGCAGGAGACACAGCAGCTTCCCTCCTTTCCTGGGAATATCATCTCAGACTCTCAGCAGCTTCTTCCAAACTGCTCACAGTTACAGCCCAACTCCCAGACCATCAGCTTCGTGCAAGTCCTCTGAACAGCAGCGCAAACATCAGACAAGCCAGAGCTCCTGACAGTGCCTAACTAGGACCTGATTTTTGGAACAGCTCCCTCCGAAAGAAAACACCAGGAGAAGACACATGCACATGTGCACAGGCACAAGTAAATTTGAGCTTGATGCTGAGGCTGGTTTTCTCAGATTTCGCAGCATACTCAAATCAAGTCCAGGCCAACATAATGGTAACACACAGTATTTTAGCTTCTCTACTTGTCACAAACACATGGAGAAAACCTGCCGTGCCAGAAACTACACCAACACTCATTTCATATTTCTGTCCAGCAGCTTCACAAAACATCTTATCCAGACTCAGCCTCCTGTCAGAGTTCAGTAGCCAAGTGCCCTTCGTTAGGGCACATGCAGGCCCAACGAAGCCATCTAGCCCTCCACCAGCTGAGTTAATACCTCCAGGCAGGCTGCAGCGATCCATCACAACACTTTTTTGGGTTGTTTAAAGCTGTTGCCAATAAAAGCATTTTCTTTCTTCAGTTGCACCAGAACCAAAACCAGAATATGACTGTTTAGGGCCAATACTGACCAGTCTTTGGCTGTAACGGATCCTTTCTTCCTCGGGCTCCATCTCCGACTCTTCTGAAGAGAGTGAGAAGGACACTCCAGGACTGCTGTCTTCCTCCTCTTCCTCCTTTGAAGTCAGAGGGAAATAGTGAAGCAGGGCACACAGACATGAGACACCTATATCCCTCATTTCTTTCCTCATTTTGAGGTCAGTTCCATACCACCGTGCAGGGCTAAGAGAACACAGTGGATGAACCCACCTCAACTTTTAATGTTCCCCATGCTAACTTTAGGCGTGACCTAGGGTAAATGATTTTACCAGCTGTTCTGTAACATGACATGAGCTGCAGGTCTCAGACCAGGAAGAGGTCTCTACTCCACACTACTACCAGCACAAAAGGCAGCTCAGTCGGCCCACACTGGGATACGAAACAGGCAAGCTGCTGTCAAACGCTCGACAGCAGAACCCTCAGAGTACAAGACTACACATTAGAGAACCAACTCCTCCAAACAACACGATTGCTGTCCTCTGGATATCCTGTACTCTGGGACTCGGGAGAAGCTACACAGGTCCAGAACATCTCCCGTGAACAGGGAAGGCGTAGGGGATCTCTCCTTCGTACAGCGCTTGAGCACAGCTCCAGGTAGGGGACTAACTCCCGTCTTGAGAAGACTTACATGCTCAGATCTCAAAATCTGCCACCTTGTGACACTACACAATAACATGGGAAAACCTCCCAAGGCATCAGATGGCACCTAAACTTTTTTTTTTTAAAGGAACAGCAAGAAACCAAAGCTTGAGTATACTGCAGCTCCTAATCCCCATGACTATGCCACACCTTCGGGGAAGGGATCTGCCACCCCGTGTGGTGTTACGGAACCGCTACCATAGTGTGGAGAGAAATTGTTTCGTCCTGCTCTTCCCTGACCTTCTGAGCATAGTTTGACAGCAGAGCGTTTCAAGTCCCACTAGCATCTCCCCCACCCCTGCTGCCAGTATCGCTCTGGACCAGGCTTCCCAGCTCAGCTAAGGCAGCTTCTCTGTACTTGCTAAACTCTGTTTATAAACACCCGGACAACCGGAGTGCAATACGCCAGCCAAGTCAGTCCGCTCGCAACACTCGCTCCCACAACACGGGGCAAACCCCCCAAACCGGCGCGGCTCCTCCAGCCCCCGGTCCCATCCCACCCCCGCCGTGGAGGCCCGGCCCCACCGCTCCCTCCCCGTTCCACGGCTCCCGTCGGGGCAGGAGGGCGGCAGCCCCGGCACGGCCGAACAAAGCGAACGGCAGGGGAAGCCCTGGGACGGCCGCTTAAAACGTCAGTCCCCGGAGAGCTGTCAGCCAGCACCCTCCAGCCCTGGGAGCTCTCCCACCCCGCCGTCCCCTGCCCGCCAACTTCCCGATCCCGGCCTCCCGGGGGCCGCAAGGAAGGGGAGACCCGCCCGCACCCTTCCCGGTGAAGGCAGCGGCCCCGCCGCCGCCCGCCGGGGCCGCCACCGGCGCCCGGTCCCTCTCCGGGGACTCGCGGAAACTTAAGGGGCGGCCGGGGGGGTCGGCGGGCCGGCGCTTAACCCCCCCCCCACCCCCCTCCGCCCGCAGCGAGCGGCTCACCAGGTCCCTCCTGCGCCTTTGTCCTCTTCTAAGCGCCGAGACGGGGAGAAACAGAAGAGACAGAGGAGGAACCCCCGGGTCAGGCAGCGATCGCGCCCCGGGCCCGGGCCCAGCCGCGCCGCCCCGCTCACCAACACCCCCCCCACCCCCCCCACCCCGCTCCGCCTCTCTCCCCGGTCCCGCCGCCCTCCCGCCCTCCGCGCCCCACCGCCCCCGCCGCGGCGAGCAGGGCGCTGACAGCTCCGCCGGCCGCCCCGGCCTCGCTGCCCGTTCCCGCGGGCCCCGCTCCCCGGCCCGGCGCCGCGTCCGCCGGGCGCCGCGGCCCCCCACCGCCGCTGCGCCCCGCCGCACAACCCCCCCCCCCCCCCACTCCCCATTTACGCCCCCCCCTCCGCCCCCCAGCCACAGGGTGCCGGGCCGCCGCCGGTCTCACCACCCGCCGCGCCGTTCTTTCCCCCCCCCCCCCCCCCCCCCGCCGCCGCCGCCGCCGCCGCCTCCGCCGCCCCCCGGCCGGGACGCGGTTCCCCTCCTCACACAGGAGCCGCCGCCGCCATTTTGAACCCGTCAGAGTCTCACATACACACTGACTCGGCCGCCGCACTGCGCCTGCGCCGCCCGAAACCTCCCCTGACCCCCCCCACCCGCCGCCTCCCCCGCCGTCCGCCGTGCGCATGCGCCAGCCCCCCTCCCTCCGCGCCCGGCCCGCTTCGGCGTCGGGGCACCGCGCACGCGCGGCCCGGGGGTTGACCACGCCCCCTCAATAGCCCCGACCCTCCTTAGCCCCGCCCCCCGCCTATACGGGTCTATATGCGCAGGCACAGGGCGGGCGCGTATGGACGTGCGCATAACCAGCGGTGTAGCTAGACGTACAGACATCCACGCTGACACCCACGTAGATAAACACGCGTGTGCCTCTACACACAGGCGAGGCATGTAAACAGGCCGCGGGCGCGCAGCCAGCACATGCATGCATAGGCGCGCCTATACACACGCACCATCCGCACCTCCATAGTTCCCCCAGCGCCCCCCAGCCAAAAAGCTCGTTCCTAGGGGCTGCCCGGCCGCAGCGGGTCCGTGCCCGGGCCCCCCCGTCTCCCCGCTGCCCGCAGGGACCATGCCACGCTGGAGTGTGTTGAGCTTTTATGGCAAAACTGCACCAAAATCACCGCGTGTCACCCCTCCCTCGCTGGCCTGCCAGCAGGAAGGGGGAACACCCCCCCCCGCGTTGAAAATCCTCCCCCCCCAAATCAGTTCCCTGCTGCCAGACCCTGTCTACCTGCAAGGCTTGGTGCGGGCAGGCTGGCAGAGGATGCTCAGACACTGGGGTCCCCAGTGGGACAGTTTCTTCATGCTGGGGGGGGTGTTATCCTGCTGGCGCACACCGCCCCCCCCCCCCCCAACAACTGGTGGCACCACAGTGGCACCAGTCCCGCTTGTGGGGCGGACAGGAGTGTGGCAGCTGAGGTGCTGTCCCAGTTTGGGAGGGGGGGGGGGCGGGCGGGACACAGACACAGCAGCAGGTCCCAGGGTTGTTGGGGGGGGGACTCAGCACAGCACGCAGCCCCCCCTGGCTCTCCTCCTGCGTCGGCTCCGGCGGGCAGCGCTGAGGGCGGCACCACAGGCCTCCGTAAAGATGTCCCCGATGTTCTCCCGGTACTTGGCCGAGCACTCCGAGTAGGACACGGCGTGGATTTGCCGGGCCATGACCTCTCCCTGCGGGGAGCCATGGGGTCAGACCCCCCTTCCCGGGGTCCCCGCTGCTCCGTGCTGGGGGTACATCCCCGGCCCGTTGAGGATTTAGAGGGGGGTGGCACTTACCTGATGGTAGGAGATGGGGTCCAGCCGTCCCTGCTGCAGCTTGCGCAGCACCGCCCGGTCCCGCCGCAGGTCAGTCTTGCAGCCCACCAGCAGCACCGGGACACCCTTGCAGAAGTGGTTCACCTCCGGGTACCACTACGGGGGGACACACGTGTCACCCAGGAGGGGATGGGGACGTGGGACGGGCAGCAGCTCCGGTTCCACGTCGCTTCGCCCAGGGGAAGATACACAGGATGGTAGCGGCCCCTTCGTTAGGAGCGGTACCTTCGTTAGGATGTTGTTGTAGCTGTTGGGGTTGGTGACATCAAAGCAGATGAGGACAACGTTGGTGTCCGAGTAGGACAGTGGGCGAAGCCTGTCATAGTCTTCTTGTCCTGCCAGGCAGAGAAGACCATTACACACCAGTTTCCTACTGGGCTCAGTCTCCTCAGCCTGGGACCATGCCTGCCCCTTCAGTTTGGGGACACAGTGGGGCTCTGGGGAGGGTGACATCCTCGGGGACTAGTGGCTGTCCACCTGCGGGTTAACCTCTCATCATCCATGCATGGGGACACCACTCCAAGGCATGACCCACGGACGGGTGTGGGACACCCCGAAATCCACAGGCTGGGGGGGGGGGGGGGGGGGAAAGGGGGTCACAATTGCTTTCTCTGTCCCCTCCTATCCCACCTGCCGTGTCCCAGAGGTGGATCTTCACGGGCTTGCTGCCAACCTGGAGCGAGGCTGTGTACTTCTCGAACACGGTGGGGACATAGACCTGGTGGGGGACAGGGGGGACATGGGACAGGTCAGCGGCTGGTGGCAGTGGCAGAGGGGACCCCCGAGGTGGTGTGTGCGCACGACAGGGCACAGGGAGGTATCTGGGGTCAGGAGAAGAAAATGGGTGGGCAAGAGATGGCGGTGCCCCCCTGGGACAGGTGGGGTGGGGACTCTCCCTGTCCTCCACAGCCCCAGTACTGGGGTCCCCTCTACCCAGGGCAGCACTGAGCCTCCAGCAGGTGGGATGCTCGGGAGAGAGGTGCTGGGGGGGGGTGTGTCTCTGGGGGCTTCTCCCCCCTCCCCACGCCCCCCAGATCCCGTATGTGCCCTTGCTGTGGGACAGACCCGCTCCCCATCCTGTCATTCCCCGAAAATGAGGCAGAGGTGGCCGCCCACCAAAGGGGGGTCACCTCAGCTCCCCCCCCCATTCCCCAAACCCAATGTCCTGTTGCAAACATCCCCGCTGCCGCCGCTGTGCCCATCCCTGTCCCACGTCCCCCGCCCTTCGCCCGTGCCGCCGCTCCTGGGAGCCTTTCCCAGCCATGGCAGGTTTGTATGGGGAGCCGCTCGGGGACGGTGACCCCCCCTGTGACCAGGTCCCGCCGCGGCTGAGGTCCCAGGTGACAGAGAGATCGGTACCTTGGGGAAGTCCCCCTTGGCGAAGGCCATCAGCAGAGATGTCTTCCCGCAGCCCCCGTCCCCTACGATGACAGCCTTGACCTCGGTCTCGGGGGGTCCCGGGCTCTGCCCCCCGCGTTCCTGCTGCATGGGGGCGGCCAGTGGGGCCACGGAACCTGCCGTGGCCTCGGCGGGGACGGGGTGACGGGAGTCACCTGCCCGGCCCAGGGTGCGGCCCCCACCCTCCCGCCGGGCCCGCCCCGCGGCGCCGCTGGGAGCCGGGGCCGTGCTGGTTTCATGGTGCTCACACACGTATGGGTGGCCTTGCACACCCACGGTGCCTTGCACACGCATGGGGCTGCTCCCTGGAGGTGCCCGGGTCCCGCACACGCTGCTCCCCTCCCGCCTGCGTGTGCGATGCTCCTTCTCACGCCTGCCCACGCGTGTGCAGCTGCCTGTCGCACACGCACAGCTCCCTGTTGCACATACACATGCACACACACGCACACGTGACTCCATCCCACACGCGCAGCTCCTTTGCACACACACATGCCTGCTCGCACACCCGTGCAGGGCGGCTTGCACATATGTGCACACGTGTGTGCTTGCACAACTCCCCCTTGCATGCCCACAGCTCCCTCCTACACACACCCTCGCACTCCTGTCCTTGAGTGTGCAAACACACGTGTGTGCCCCCTGACCACTGAGTTCCTGCTGCAGGTGGGGGCCCTCCCTCACAACCTGGCCCCCCCCGCCCCCCAAACCTGGGTTTTATTGCCCTGAGCATCCACAGGAGGCAAAGTCCAGGGTGGAGCGAGGCGCAGGGGGGTGACTCACAGCTCCGGCCCCCCCGCCAGTGCCACCCCTTCCGTCACACTGGGTGGTGTGCCGTGCCCAGCCCTGCCCAGCCGTGTCGTGCTGAGCCGTGCCATGCTGGGAAACTCTGTCCCTGACGCCCGGCCCAGCATGACATGACTGGCGTGGGCACCCCCCCCCCCCCCTCGCCCTGGTCTTTTCTTGGTGACCCTAACATGCTGGATGGCTTCCATCACCCCATTTTGCTTGGGGACATGCCCAGCGGTGTTCCCTGGGGTGCAGACGGTGCCACGCATGGACCCCTACATTGACCACCCCGTATTACCAGGAGCGATCCTTGCCCTCCTGCCCCGGGACAGGGACACCCATGGCCCCACTCTTAGAGGTGGGAGGCCAGAGGATGCTCAGACACAAGGGATTTGGGACATGGGGGGGTGTTTCTGGGTGCTGGCAGGACTCAGGGAGCCCCATGTGTGGGTACCTCCTCCTGCTAGCTCCTCCAGCCCTCCTGTGGGTGCACCGGCCATCTGGGTAAACTGGGCAGGGGTGTTAACAGTTCTAGCAGCAATTAGCTAGCTTAACGAGCTGAAGAAGCAACTTTCTGCCTTTGCTGGGGGAGCAGAGGGCTCCTGGTGCTGAGGGGTGTGCTTTGCCCACCATCCAGCCATTGTCCCCCCCACCAGCGGCTGGAGGGGACATGGAGGGCAGCCAGGGCCACTCTGGGGGGGAAGGAGAAACCATGTCCCTCACATCCCATCTGAGAGGTTCCCAAGACCCCCTCCCCTCCGGTCAGTGTCATCCTCTGCCACACCAAGGCCCCAGCAGAGGTAAAGGGGTGCTTCTGATCTAAGGGTGCAGGGGGGGATCATGTGTGCCATTCCCTGCCATTCTCCCCAGCCCTACAACTGGCTCATCTGCTCTGCCAGCCATCCTCCCTGGCTCCCTTGATGTGTACTGGCTGGTCCAGGAGGGCACTGGAGCCCCCAGACCAGCCAGGGCAAGTCTGAATAGATGGCCTGAACACCAAATCCCCACCCAGGCCTGAAGCACGACAAAGATGGAGGAGAGACAGCGGCAATTCACATGCCAGGAGACTGGAAGGCGAATGCATGCAGTAATGAAGAATCTCAGAAGGATGCCAGCATCAGGGCAGGATGGGGGGAGGAGACTGGAGCACAATAAAACAATTAGGAAGGTGGTAATTACCAATCTAATGAGATATCTGGTTGAATCCTAAAAGCATCAAGGTTCTTTCACAGCAAGATGTAGCTTCATCAATATTCATCCTCTGGGGTATTCTCTTGGACAAAACATTTCCTTTCCCGCAAGACCAACAGAAATTTGACAGGAGAAGAGGCTTGGTGATGCAGCCTGTGCCTCTGAAACTGCCCAGTGCTCTCCCAACCACCTGACCCGTGATCTTGCAGAAACGCCCTAAAGAGCAGCTTTATTTGGAGGCGAGACGGGCTGCTTGGGTTTTCTGAGGATGCAAAGACCCCATTTCTTCTCATCTGAGAAGATCGTGGCAAGGAGAACCAGAGGGAGGGAGCGTGCCCTGCTCGGACGCGTGGGCAGGTTGGCCCTGGGCTGCTGCCTGGAAAGGTAGGTGGGTCAAGACCGGAGCCCAGCCCCGGGAGCTGCTTGCGTCTCCCCACAGCCCCTCTCACCACCTCCACGCGCATCCTCCCTCGGGGCGCCTGGAGCCCCTCCAACCTCTCCTCCGTGCTCACCTCCCAGCCCATCACTGGTGAGGCAGCCACCTCCTCAGCCCTCCTGTCACCCCCCTGTCCCCAGCCCTGCTGTGCCACAGCGCCAGGACCCCTCTCCCTGAAACATCCTTCGGGGTCCCACTAACCCCCCATCCACTCTGACCGCAGCCGGGGACCACGTCACGCCTCCCACCATGGAGCTGAACCAGACATCCCCACCTCCCCCATCACCTGTGCCAGAGACCGATGACGACAACCTGTGCAGGATAGATGTCACCGACGTGGCCATAGACGGTGTCACGCTGCTCATCTGCCTCTGCGGGCTGGTGGGGAACGGGGCCGTCCTCTGGCTCCTCGGCTTCCGCATCCGCAGGAACCCCATCACCGTCTACATCCTCAACCTGGCTGTTGTTGACTCCACCTTCCTCCTCTTCATGGTCACCTCCACCTTCCTCTACGTGGTCGAGAACCTCTGCTTCTCCGCTGTGTCCTTGATGTACCAGAGGTCACTTTTTCTGCTCTCTCTGCTCTCCTACAACATGGGCCTCTACCTCCTGACGACCATCAGCATCGAGAGGTGCATGTCCATCCTCTTCCCTCTCTGGTACCGCTGCCATCGCCCCCAGCACTTGTCAGCCGTGGTGTGTGCCCTGCTCTGGGCCCTCTCCATCGCTGTCATTGCTGCAGTGACTTCTCTGTGCCTGTCGCAGGAGCACGAGCACTGCCAGATGGCTCTTATCTCCATGTACGTCCTCAACTTCCTCATCTTTGCCCCACCCATGGTCATTTCTAATGTGATCCTCTTCATTAAGGTCCTGTGTGGCTCCCAGCAACGTCAACCCAAGAGGCTCTACATTGTTATCTTCCTCACCATCCTCTTCTTTCTCATCTTTGGGGTTCCCCTCAGCATCTGGAATTTCCTGCAGCAGTTTGTCTACATCGTTGTGCCCTCCCAGGTTGTTTTCCTGCTCGCCTGCATCAACAGCAGCATCAATCCCTTCATTTATTTCTTGGTGGGGAGCTGCCGGAGGCACTGCTCCTTGATGTCCCTCCAGGTTGCCTTCCAGAGGGTCTTTGAAGACACAGGGGTCACCACGATCTCCAACTAAGAGGCCACTGTGGTCTCACTGGCAGCACTGACCACCCTGGCTTCATGCTCATCTGCCCACCATTGCTCCCGGCTGGGCTTACAGGTCATCTTCCAGCAGCTGGGTGTTGGGATGCATCCCATCCTTTAACCCACCTCATCCTCATCCCATCTTGCCCCCATCCCTGTCTCCATCTCCATCCCGTCCTCATTGCATCCTCATCCCCATTCCATTCCCATCCTCATCCCCATTCCATCCCCATCCCCATCCCATCTCCTCCCATCCCCACCCTATCCCATCCCCATCCTATCCCTATCCCCATCCCCATCTATCCCCATCCTCACCCCCATCCCATTCCATCCCTATCCCATCCCCTTCCTATCCCTATCCCCATCCCCATCCTATCCCTATCCCCATCCCCATCTATTCCCATCCTCACTCCCATCCCATCCCATTCCTTTCCATCCCATCCCACCCCATTTCATCCCTTCCCCATCCCCGTCCCTCTCTGTCCCACCGGCCGTTCGGGCAGCCGCTCCCCGGCTGCGAGCGCGTCCCGCTGGGCTTTGCTGCCCTCCAGCGAGGGCAGAGGAGATGAAAACCCTCCAGAAACCTTCTCGGGGCCCGCCTGCCCCTGAGGGGCAGCGGGTGGTGGGGGGATTCTGGTGTCCGACAGCCCCGTTGCTGCACCCCCGGTTCTCTGCGCTGCCCGGCCCCGGCCCCGCTCCTCCCGCCCCAATAAACTCCTCTGGCTCCATCGCTGCCTCTCCTTCCTCTCCTGTCTCTCGTGGGGGGGGGGTGGTGGTGGTGGAGGGTGGGGTGTGGAGGGGGGAGGGTTGCAGGGGTTTAGGGCACCGGGGGGGAAGCTCTGCGAAGTGGTTGGTGGGGCTTCTTCCTGAGAAACAGCTCTCCAAAAACCATATGGGGTGAGCAGCCCATAGGGAGGCACTGGAGGTGTGGGGCTGGCCTGGGGGGTGGGGGGGCAAGGGCTGTGGGGGGGCTGGTGGGAAGGGGTGGGACGTGGTGGGACTGGTGGGAAGGGGTGGGATGTGGTGGGGCTGAGCCGGAGCAGGGTGCAGGAGGTGGTGGGGGTCTGCACTCATGATGACAGGAGGAGCACGAGCCCCAGATCGGGCAGCAGGGCAGGAGGCCGCAGGTCCCTGTGTCCCCAGGGCAGCAGGGACACAGGGACCTTTCCTCCTGCCTCGGTGCTGGGGGAAACTGAGGCCCAGCACGATGGCGTTTGGTGCTGGAGCTGTCTGATGCATCGCTGCTGGCTCCGGCACCGGCTTTCTGCACACCCACAGCTCTCCCCACTGCTGTGACGGGAGGCTGAGACCTTGGAGAAGCCACAGGGCAACCCAGTGGAGCCTGTGGTGACCATCTGCTCCTGGAAGGTGGTGGCCAGGTCTGGGGATCACAGACTCCCCCTCCCTTTGCTGCTGCACCATCCTGTCCTGGTGAAGAAGGGGAAAAGCTCCAGCCTGACAAAGCCAGAGGAGAGGAAGAATTTCAGAGGGAAGAGTCTTTTACACTTAGACCTGGCTTACAAAATAAAAAAAAAAAAAAAATTTGGGGAAATATTTGCCGTGACACTAATGAAACAGTCTGGGGGCACCAGGGTACCTCTGGGCCCAATCCTGCTGAGCACACACCGTGTGTGCATCTCCCCCCCCTCCACCTGCAGCCCCGGCCGGCGGCAGGACCCAGATGAAGGCAGCAAGCACTGGCACACGGACTGAAAGCAGCTGAGGGTGCACGATGCTGTTTATTGATATCAGGCAGCTATGAGCTACAGGAACCGGGTACTGGTTCGAGGGGAGGGCGGTGGGGGACTCCCTGGAGCCTGGTGAGGGGCAGTGGTTCCCCCCCCGTCAGCATTGCAGGGGAGCAGAGCTCAGAGAGGCTGCGCAGGATGCGGGATGGAGAGAGAGGCTTTTACTGAATGGGGTTTTACTCCCACTCTGTACATGAGTCAGAGTTCCCCAAAGGCAATGATCATCCTAAAAAGCAGGTCGGATTTTGGGAAACATGGTCCCTTTGGGGGAATAGTGGCCCCAGGACCTGGGGTGGGCTGGGAGGGAGAGGAAAAGCTGTGCTCCACCGCTCTCTCCGCAGAACATCCCTCCCCACATCGACCTCGGCGATGCCCCTGCGCTCCTCTCCTGCAGGGGACAGAATTACATCGTGAGAAGGTGACGTCGGGGAAATACTGCAGATATTTATTCATCTGCAAGGAAACACGCAGCCACTGTCCCGCAGGCCTTTAGCAGAGCGGTGGAAAGGTTTCAACAGTCTGGGGCCAGCGTGTCCATCGTGGTATCGTTGCTGCATGCAGTGTTGTCTTCTGGCTCCTCAAAGACCCTCTGGAAGGCAACCTGGGGGGACATCAAGGAGCAGTGCCTCCGGCAGCTCCCCACCAAGAAATAAATGAAGGGGTTGGTGCTGCTGTTGATGCAGGCGAGCAGGAAGACAACCTGGGAGGACACAACGATGTAGCCAAACTGCTGCAGGAAATTCCAGATGCTGAGGGGAAGAGCTAAGAGGAGGAAGAAGAGGACGGAGAGGAAGATAACAATGCAAAGCCTCTTGGGTTGGTGGTGCTGGGAGCTACACTGGGCCTTAATGAAGAGAATTGTGCTGGAAATGACCATGGGTGGGGCAAAGATGAGGAAGTTGAGGACGTACATGGAGATAAGAGCCATCCGGCAGTGCTCGTGCTCCTGCGACAGGCACAGAGAAGTCACTGCAGCAATGACAGCGATGGAGAGGGCCCAGAGCAGGGCACACACCACGGCTGACAAGTGCTGGGGGCGGCGGATTCTGGAGCAGAGGATGGACATGCACCTCTCGATGCTGATGGTCGTCAGGAGGTAGAGGCCCATGTTGTAGGAGAGCAGAGAGAGCAGAAAAAGTGACCTCTGGTACATCAAGGACACAGCGGAGAAGCAGAGGTTCTCGACCACGTAGAGGAAGGTGGAGGTGACCATGAAGAGGAGGAAGGTGGAGTCAGCAACAGCCAGGTTGAGGATGTAGACGGTGATGGGGTTCCTGCGGATGCGGAAGCCGAGGAGCCAGAGGACGGCCCCGTTCCCCACCAGCCCGCAGAGGCAGATGAGCAGCGTGACACCGTCTATGGCCACGTCGGTGACGTCTATCCTGCACAGGTTGTCGTCATCGGTGGTCGGTGTGGGTGGTGCGGGAGGTGGGGACATGTCCTTCACCTCCATGGATGGACGCTGGCCAGGTGGTGGGACGTGGTCCCCGGCTGCGGTCAGAGTGGATGGGGAGTTAATGGCTTGGAGAAGCTGAGGCTGAGCCCTGAAGGCACCAGTGGAGGGCAAGTGGGATGTGCTGGGGATGGGACTGGTGGACATTGTGGGGTGGGAGAGGGAGACGGGAGAGGAGGGAGAGACATGTGCACCACGGGATGCAGAAGGCAAGTGTGGGGCAGCGAGGAGTGGACCTAGAGAGAGGACCTGAGGAGAGCTCTGCCGGGCACTGGGAAAGCTGAGAGGAACGTATCTGCTGGCAGTGGATGCTGGAGGAAAGAAAAGTGGGATAGGGCTGAAGGAAAACATTGCACTTAACTGTTAGCTTTGGTGAAGCAGCAGGCAAGGGCTGTCTTTCCAGCTGGGCTCAGGCAGACCGGCGTCAGTGTCTTGGCTTCTCACACTCCTTTCGGATCCATACCCCAAAGCGGATCCTCCCAGGACAGTTGCATGAAGAAGAAAGTCCCCCGGTCACCAGGAGGTCCCCGTTCTCGTCCTGCCAGCTCCTCTGTCCCCAGTGTGCCCCTCGGCAGCGCACCCCACTCCCCCAGCCGTAGTGGGGTCGTGGGGGAGTTGGGAATGGTTTTGTAACTTCGTCTACGTCAGAGCTTCGCTTCCTTGTTTTTATTTATCTTGCTCCTTTTTTTTTGCCACAGAGGAAGTGGCTTTTGCCAGAAGCTCTGCAAGCAGAATTTTGTGAATGGCTCCTCATTTACTCCTGATTAGAAACACTCCTTCCCAGACAACGATCTGCTCCTTGTCTGCTTTTCCTCTCGTGGCAGGTTTCTTCCATTTTTCATTTCTCCCCTGCCTGTTGTGGGGCTCCCTGGACCTCAGAATCCATGGGGGGGGCATCGCCCCTCCAGCAGCAGAGCGTGGTGCTGGTGGTGCTGGGGATGCTGGCAGAGGTGGTGGGGTGGCTGGGTGCTTCTCAGAAGCAACTCCCCTTCTGGGAAGAGCACGGGGATCATCGCCAAAACCTCCCCTGGGCCCAAGGCAGCACACCTTCATAGCAGAGCCAAGAATTTGCATTTCTTGTTAGCCTCATGTGGGCCTTGACAGCCCAGCTGAAGGACAACAAACAGTTGTTTTCAGTCAGGATACAACAATACTAGCACTTATAGCCTAGATTAATTATTGCTAAGAACCCTTAGTGATGCAATTAAAACTAGAAACCAGGTTTTGGGGTGCTGTGCTCCCCCCACCCAGCTCTTCACCAGTGGCACATCCTCCTCCTCAGTCTTGGGAGCACTTCTGGTTGTTTTGACATTATCCCACCTCTTTGGTAGCCCACACACCCCGGACTGCGGCTCCTGAGCTCAGCCTGGATGTTGTTAAACCCTCCTGTGGCTCACGGCTGAGCAGAGCATCTCCTTGGAGGCACTTGCCCCCCACCAGTCCCCCCCAGCCAGGTCCAAGTGGATCCCAAGCTCCTCGCAGCCACTAGAGAACCTGCAAAGGGCTTAATGTTGTAGCCAATATGTTTTGTGCAATTAACATCCTCGTTGTGATGATTAAAATGACAGAGCTTTTCCAGAGGGATGCACCGCCATGAGGAGTGTCCTGCCTCTCCCACGCCACGGTGCCCTTGCAATTGGGGGGTGTTTTTGGCTTCTCTCCCAGCTACCCGGCTGACTACCTGTTTTTTTGCTGCAGTAGCCTTCAACTGCTCTAAAACATGCTGTGAATGCTTAAAATCGACTCCCAAAGACACTGGATTTATCCTGTTAACAATTCCAGCTTCAGCACTTTTGGTAAGGGCAGAGTTGTTTCCAAGGGTTTTGTATCAAAGTCTCTTCATATCAAAGTTGCTTCACATCAAAGTCCTGTCCTTCGGTGGGGGCTGTATTACAAAAGCAGATCCTACCACCTGTGTTTTGTGCAAGAAGCCACATGGCAGAGCCCATTGCTGAGCCCTAGGGATGCTGGTGGGAGCCACAGGACCCTCCCCACTTGCTTATCCTCCTGCATCCCCCAGCTAAATTCATCAGCTCCCTGAAGGCAGGCCAAACCTCCGTGGTCCCCGCGGCCACCCCCCTTTAGCCTTTGACGGGGCTGCTTTCCAGTTTGCAGAGTCAGAAGGGGCAGAGCATCTTTATTGTGACATTCCTGGGCTGGGGACTCGGGGTGGGCTGGACGGGGACAGCCTGGGAGCAGACACATCGGCGTGTGTGCCTGCAGCTCCGTGCACCAGCAGCGCCAGACAATTTCTGAATGAAACCTCCCACTCATTCTTCAGGTATCTGAAGCATCCAGAAACAAACTACACCAAGCTGTCTTACCAAATGGCTGGGGGCACGTATAGCTGATTTCTTAGAAGTTACATGTTTGTTCCCAAAAGAGATTATTGTGCGCTGGCTTCAAGGCTCTTTTCTGGCGGGGGGTTTATCTGTTTGTTTGCTTTGGTTTTAAGGCTAAACATAACACTCTGAGTCACTGTGGATTGCACTGGAGTGCTTCACAATTCCGACCTGCAGGAGCAGGGAGGAAGCCCTCTGTTCCCTGGCCACTAATTACCTGGACAGGCTGGCTGCAAGCGAGCTGACCCCCAGCCCCCTTCCAGCTCAGCAACGCTTCCATCTGCCTCCCTCCAGCCATGCAGCCAGGAGATAGAGACAAATACACCACAACTGGCAGGAGACTGGGAATTCCCTGCTGCAAGTGGGAAGGACAGCTGACAACATCTCTGTCTTTTCAAATCAGTACACGGAGTTCATAAAGAAATGGACTTTTTTTTCTTTCCAATGAGGTTTAGTGAAGCAGATGGAGACATTAGTCTGGGGATGATAGGAATCTTTTTTCTGCTCTTTGTTTTTTACTGAGTCTCTTTGTTTACCTGATATCTGCCTAAGCTGAATTTTTGGTGTGTTGAGATTTTCTGTAGAGTTGTTTTTTACAATAAAGGACAGGATTTTGCTAAATTAACTTCAAAAAACTTCAAATTAACTTCAAATTCCCCAAATTGCAGGTGGAAGAGCCCTGTATGACAGCACTGCTGTGCTTCACCCTTTCCCCCTTGATATTTTTTGAGGGTGGGAGGCTTGTTTTACTTTTGTTATAGGGAAAAGAAGAAACAGATTTTTATCTTGTGCTCGTTTAACCTCTTCCACAGAAATGCAACTATGGGCCCCACTATCTGCTGGCAGTGGGAGGGATGATTCATCTGAAGACAGGGCAGCTCCAGTGAGAGGTCACTGGGCTCTGCATGATCCTCACGGCCACTTCTTTTGGAAAGGGGAATTCTCCTTGTCATAAACTTCTCGTTGTGAAGACAGCCTAGTGCAGAAGGACACGTACTGCCACAAGCCTTTTACAAAGTTTACAAAAGATGGCAAAATTAAATCTGAATATCATAACCTGCGACTGCGTTTAACATGCTCTTACACCTCAGGGAACGATCCTTTACACAAAACAACAAATCCTCTCATTTTGTGCAATTCAAGCCAATTCTTAATTGCCAGCATTATATCCTCTGAGCTTGAGGGAATGGCTCCCTTCTCTTGTGACTTGGTGGGTTTGGATTTTTTTTTTTTTCTCTCTCTGCAAATGCTTAAGGATCTGTGCCATTTCTTTTCAAGTAAGGCTGTGCCATGTGTGCGAACTACAAAGTATTATTAGTAAAAAAACTCAGGGGAGGAGTCATCCAGAAGCCTCCTTATCGCTCTCATATCAGTAGGCATCTTCTCTCCTGCAAGTGCAGACATCGGTGCTTGCAGGGGCAGAGATGGCTCATTAACACTGATTGGTAAGATTTTGCAGATGACGTAGAGTCTTTCTTCAGATGTCTATTTTTATCTTAAGAAAACAGACTTTAAGGAGGCAGCATCACCCCTCGGTCGCACGGAAACGTTTCCAGCCTTTTGCTGCCATCGGGTTGTGCTACATCTCTGCAAATGGACTTCAGGAGCACACACCAGGGTTTTCTCAGCCCCCTGAGTGCTGGCACAGGTCATATCTCCCCAGCTGCTTCCACAAATTTCTGTCCAGCACGGGGGGGGAGTCCTCAGGGCAGAGGGTTCACATGGTCACCCCCACAAGATTCGTACCCTGGGGAAAGCCAGCATTAAAGGAGAATGAGTATTTGGACAAGTTTCGTTGAGGAAAACCACCTGGGAAGTGAAAGCTGTTGGGATGCTGTCGTGCCATTCACGGCTATGGATGGGTCCAGCTCCGGTGCCTGCAGGCTCTGCCTTCCCGGGAGGAGGAGGATGGATGGTGAAGCACACCCTGCGGCCACAGAAGCTGGGAGGTACCATTCTACAGCCCTGTGACAATTCACGCTGGATGAAGATGGATTAGGAAAATACTGGGTCATGTTTTCCCTCTTACCCATGGAAATCTGACTGAACAGAAGCTTTGGGAGCAAGAGAGAGATGGAGCTGCAGTGCCGCCACGTTGCATTTAACACAGCCAGGGCAGGGCATTTTTAACTAATCCTAACATTGCTTTAGCATGAAAAAACTACCTTTGGGTTAATTTTTGGAAGGGCTGAAGGAGAAGCCCCACAGCAGCGCTGGCTCGGAGCTGATGGGTGTATTGTCTGTGGTCCTGCAGCGGGTTGTTATTCCCAGCCAGCCCAGCACATTTCTCAAGTGGGCAGGGGCTTCCCAAAGGCTGCTGTGCTGGGACACCCTGCCCGCTCCTCCATGGCCAGGGCAGATGTTGGGAGGATGCTGAGGGGGAATTTGGAGCAAGCCGACCCAAAGGACTTGTGGTTGGAAGGACATTTGGGGCAAAGGCAGTGAGAGCTGGAGGTGGCAGTGATAATTATTACAAGCTTCAGCAGCATCATTACTCACTGGGACACTTGGAAGCACATCACTAAGTTCCTTGAATTTTTCTTAGGCTATCGAGACAATCCTGGGTGAAAGGATTGTGCTTTGTTATCGATTATATATTTTTTGTTACTACCCTGTTAGACTTCTTTATAATTTTGTCCTAATTTCTTATAATTGTAGGGTTTCTCTTTGATTGCCGTGAGGGTTGTAAAATGATGTTTCTGCTGGGAAATGAGTGCGTCCGCTTGAGTCCTCTCCAGCGCCACAGCATGAGCTGCAGGCAGAGGAATGACGATTAATTAAGTTCAGTTCACACATATGTTCCTGCGGTTTGGTGTTTTGTCCTGCTGGCCCTGGATATGGCAGAGATGGGAAAAGACCATCTCTGACTCTGCTTTCTGCTTTTTTTTTTTTTTTTTTTTTTTTTTTTTCCTGGGGTTATACTAATCTGAAAACGGGCACAAAGCAAATCAGAGAGTCTTCCAGGGAAAAGTTGATCAAATGTTTTCCACGGTGGTCCTGGGAAGGAGAGGGTGATGCACAGACGAGATGCTGGGAGGCGATAGCCCGTGGTGCTCCGTGAAACCCAGCCCAAAAGAAATGCATCAGTTCCCTGTGCCCACAACCAGGCAGAAGCCAAGTGTTGATAAGAAGAGCTCACTCGTGGATCTGCCATGGGGGTTATTTCCAAGCACTGTGTGACTTCAAAGTGGGAAAAACTCCAGGTTTAACTAAAGACTGTGTTTGTTTGTTAATATTGCCCCTTTCTCCCAATTTTTTCCGTAGAGAGAAGAAACATAAACATTTGAAGTGATGCCAAAAGGTGCCTTTGGGGACATCGGCGTGAGGGAACTTGCCACCCTTGTCCCCAGCACGGTTGTTGCCACATCAGTGGGAGTTACGAACTGCCAGCCTGATGAAGAATCACAGATTTTGATGCCTAAGTGGCTGCCATGAGGTGAAATAAGGAAACAGGCGCTCAGTCCAATACTCATCATTGTCACCGCGCTGGTTGTCCTCG